ATAGTATCATAAGAAGTTGGTTTGAGTCAAGATAGTAGTTTTAGAAACCAATGGCATTTTCTATCTGGTGCATTCTATAGAGAGGTTTCATAGACGAACTATGATGGCTAGGTTTATAAAAAGGGCGACATAGTATTTTTCAGGTTCTGGAAGACTGTTGGAGGTATTTTTTTAACAATACTATTTTAAAGAGCACAAAGTTCTGAACAAAATGAGAGGTTGCCGCAGTTCTACGAACTTCTCCTGCAATGTTAAAAGTATCACAATAATCGAAAAAATGCATTTTTGGTTGATTTTTCGGTAAATTTCTTGTTTTTCACTGTTGTGATACTTTTGATTCTCTAACGAAAGGTCGCAGAAAATACGACGACTCTGCAATTGTATTCAGGATTTTATGATCTTTAAAATGACATTGCTAAAAAGTACCACCGGTAAAGTCTTCTGAGACCCGAAAACCGTCATGTTTGGTCTTTAGAAACTTATCATCATAGTTCATCTATAGAATCTTTCGATAGAATGTATTAGATGGAAAATTCCATTGGCTATTAAAGCCGTTCCCACAGTATCAAACAGTGAAAAACTAGAAAAATTCGAACTTATACTTGATTATTTTTCTATGAGTTGAATTTTCAACGAATATCATATAAGTTTGTCATGATTGGTCGTATTTTCTACAGTTGGTATCGCTCATTTCTTTGAAGTTTATCATATGTAGCTGTAGCACAATTATCGAAAGTTGATTGATTCAGGCCGCCATTCTTTATCAATAAATACTGTAAAGTTTCGAAAAGTCGTCTTTAGAGAGTCTTAATCAGAATCAATCTACAGAATAATTTTCAAGATTTATTAAAGCCATCTTATATTTTCATCAATTTGTGCCTAATGACATCTCGTCTTTACAGCAAATCAAACAAGCATTTTTCTTTCTATGTACAGTGAAATTAAGGACGTTTTCTTAAAATATTAACTTATGAACGAATTCAAGAGATTGAAAATGGAAGAACAACCGATGCACTTTGTTGTTAACTGCAATAGTGTTTTCATGTGGTTCATTAAAGTCATCGTTTCTACTTAAACCGAACATTACGAACATGGATTAAGATGGACCGAGTACTCTTAGTTAGGTTGCAGGTGTAAATAGCTTTTTAATCAATGGATATACGAAGTTAGATTTTCTGTGAACAAAATTTTTCCATTCTAATTGAAGCTTCAGATTCTACCGTGTTACATTTTCATACAAAACATATATATGATGTGAAAAATAGAAATGCAATGCTTTTTTCAATCAATTGTTACTGACTAATAGACATGATAGATTATTTATCTCATTAAGAACTGTTAATGTAACAAGGTTTTTCTTTTTTTCTATATTTATGTTGTCTATTAATGACACAATTTCAGGTTGAAAACGTATACTGAAAATTAAAAAAGTATTAATTTTATTCATACAACTTTGAAATTATTTTAAAAATGAAAAACAATTCATTTTTACAACGTAGGGTATTCGTAGTACCTAAAATAGGCTTAACAACGCTACAGTTTACAAATACTTAATGATAGCAATTTCCTAGTTCTTTATTGGTGTAGCATAATCAGAAATTCTTCTTTCTACAGATATGATATCTGGCTTTAACTGGTGTGCAAGACAAAAGTCTTTTAAGTTTTTAATTAATTTTTTTGTTGCTGGTAGTAATATCTGATGTTTCACGCTTATATCAAGTGTTAATAACATTTCTATCTATTATTACATCTCTTTCTATTATTATGACAAATACTGAAGATGTATAAAGTAAAACAAGTCTGTAATTCTTTAAGAGAAGTTTTATAGAACGCAGACTGTTTTCCCTAGGTTGTAACTGCATCCATTGCAGTGAAGGCTAAAAATGCGTTGTTGTCAATAAACTTTGATAAATGCTGAGTTTTCATTGTACATAAAATGTATACATTACGATCGTCTATAATGTTAACAACACTACTATCTATTCTGATTGCTGTTAATCTGCTTTGATTCAGTTCGTAATCTAGCAAAACAAAAACCATTAGGTGAATCGTTAGAAAATAAAATTTCAAATGCTTACCGGTTTAACTCCTATACTTAGAAACATTGAACGTTCTTTCGATAAGTTAAGTAATTAGCTCAATTGTTTTAATAAAGTCGGATCCAAAACGTAGCGAATTATTTGCATTATATTCCAAGATTAGCTCATCGAGTTTGATGATCAAATATCTAGTTGCCAAATCGTGTTACACTTCTATTTGCACATGATAAAGACTTATTTGTAGGTAATGAGACACTATTTTCACAGCTATTGGTTGCTAATCGATGATTCTCCTGAATACCGAATTTATTTTCATAAAAATACTGATATTCTTTTTTGAATGCTGAATAGCGTTGATATTTTCCGCGTGATAAGCACTCAGTTGTCTATTACATTCTTCATAGATCTTTTGACTATTATCTAGCTAGATTCGATTTGCTTAAGTTGATTATTCATCGAAACGATTGAATACGAGAAGGTTTTTGAATTAAGTTTTTCTTTTTGGTAACTTGCAGTTTTTAACACTTTTAATTGATGTTATTTGTGTCTTTATTATTAGTTCATTTCTCACTACTTTGTCCTTTATTCGTTTCCATTGTGTATTCTGTTAGATTAAAGAACGAGGGATTCAAATTATGCAATGTACATTTATTCAACAGAAGAAACGTACGTAATCTTTACAGTTGACCAATGAAATGAAAAGTTGAACCTCTACCGAACGAATAAGTAAATTAAAGAATGTTCAAAATCAAGTGATCTACAGTAGAGAAAGAAAATACCAAAAGTTTAAAAAAATTAAAAAATCAGAAAAGTTGTGCAAACAGCTGCAAAAATAGATTTTTTTAAAGAACTGTCGTAACTCTGATTTTTCGCTATTTGAATTACTCGATCAAAACAGAAGACTGTGTCATTACTACATCGTATTGAGTGTTTGTAATAAGGAGCAAGAAGAATGTATTCTAGATTAAGCTGTTGGAGTATAAATGATCTATTCTAGTAATCAAAATAGAAGATTGGTTTTTGAAGATCGAAGATGACAACTGTTAACAATTATCTTTGAATAAATATATCAGAATATGGAAATGTACGTGTTTTGTTAGTTCTATTCACATAGTAGATGAATTAAATGATATGTGATATCAATAGAATATAATGTAGATATGATTTGCTGGAAATATTGAATCATCTGAGACAAATTCATCAGCGAGGTAACGGGATCGAAAATTCTCACATTAGATTCTTTGTGAGAGAAAAAAATAATACACAGAACGCTCAGCTATCAGAAAATTACTCATTAGAACGGAAGGAGTACAAAAAATTCTTTCTCTTTTACTTACACATCACAACCCCATGAGCTGGAGACAATCCGATAATCGTAATCCATCGCATCAGTTTTGTGCTGCATTGTAACGATAAACTGGAGAAATAGCTTTACCGTAACTTTCATTAGTGATGTTTATTGAGCAACTATCTATCTCCAACATGCCATTAGCTCACATTCAACACAAGCTCTTTTAGGAAAGAGATGAAGACAAAGACAAAACAATAGTGAGAGTACAAAGAAAAGAAAGAGAAAGTAAGGATAAAAGTGAAATCGTGACATCAATATCCCAGGTCGAGACGAACGGAGTGAAAACGCGTTCGGAACAGGCGAATGAAAGCTAGAACGCGTTCCGAACGCGCTGTGTACAAGCAGGCGAACACGTTCAGAACTACTAGTTCGGAACGTTTGCAAATGATCGTTCGCAAACGTTCCGAACTAGTAGCTCGGAACGTGTTCGTCTGCTGCAATACAGCGCGTTCGGATCGTTCGGAACGTGTTTTGGTTTTCGTTCGCCTGTTCCGAACGCGTTTTCACTCCGTTCGCCTTGACCTGGGATCAGAGCATACATGTATTCTTTTTTGATTACCCAGAACAAAGAAAACAAAATTCGCATACAGTGGGTAACGACCTTAAACAAAATATGACGATTTACGAGCGTTTACAAGCGTGCTTGCTTGACATAGCTGGCAACGATAATAATATATGGTCTTTTATTTTGAAAATTGTAATACGTTGACTATAGGTTTATACTTTCTTCATAAACCACTATCATTTCAATGTTAAATTTGAGCCAAAATTTTATGAGAATGACGTTACGTAAAAATTTCTATTGTTACTGAAAGTTAAACTATTATAAGTTTTGTCAGTAATAAATAAAACATTGTTAAAAGCGACTATTTTTCTCTGGAAAAGCTCAGCTGCTGCAATGGTTCTATTATAGTATTAAAATTAAAATATCTGAAGAAGTACGCTTTATTTCATTATTAACAGTCGGTAATGCAAAAAATATTGCGATCAAGGTCACTCTCACATGATTCAGTTGTCACAGTTTGTTTAATCAAGGATGAGCTCTGAAACTTCGAATCTAAATAATTGCATGTAAGCTTGTCATGAAGAAAAATCAAATTACTTTTTGTCTGTGGTTCACTTTTTTTTACTGAAACTTCTTAGAGATTGAAAATTTTATTCTACGATGCTGAATTACTTTACTGCGTAGTGTAGGTACTCGAAAGATTTATCCATATAATAAAACAAACAACTGAAACAATAAGTATATAAGAGAATCATGATTTCAGCGCTTTTATTATTTGTTTACTCACAATCGTCAAGAGAATATTCAACTTATGGATAAGATAGTTGATGCAGATTTTGACATGTATCTGCATTCTTCGATTATGATATTCTCTTGATGTCAATTTACAATTTGTATGTTTCTGTGAGAATGGTCTGCAAAAGAAAATGTTGAATTCATCAATTACAAACTGATTATTTGCTTCATTTGTAATGCGACCACTGACACATATATGAATGATATTTCAGTTTTAGATTACAACAAATTCATAAAAAAATTGATTCATTTTGTTTACAAAAAAAAAAGATTATTTAATTAAAACACTAAAATGTAATGGAATGTTTTTTTACCTTTTTCGAATAACATTTAATGTTCGTACACCATTTATAATTGGTTGTCTATTTTTTTCACCAATATTTCTTGATATATTATAAGATAATTCAGCAATTTTCTTTTTTAATTCTCTTTCATCAGTAAACATCTTCGTTTTGTTGAGATATTTTTGTAAAATAAATATTTCTGCTCGACAATCATAACAATGATCGAGTCCTTCCGTTTCCACAGTATCCAAATCATGTTCATAATACATTGTTCTCGTTATATTTTGAAAATTATTCATAGCTCTTTTAAAATCTACATTATCATATGTTTTCATTTGTGCATTTTTTTCAACGATTAAACGACACTCCATACTTCGTCTTGATGTCCATGTATCCAATAGCAAATGGCCTTCGAAAAATAAAATTGTATCCGATACATTTGGCAGACGAAATGTTAGTAAAGAAGCGTGAGGATCTATTGTCGAATGCCATATGATTTGATTAGAAATATCTGTATGTATATCTTCGGCGATATTATTATGACTACTGAAAGTACGAATGTCACAAATAAACAAAATATTTTTATTTTTTTCTGAAAATGTTTTTGCCAAATCTTCTGTAAAACATTCGGATTGAATTTTTATTTTATCACTTTTAAATGCAACAAATGGTTCTATATCAATGAGAACAAATTCAAGTTCAGGAAACAATGAACTCAAGTAATCTAAATGTGTTCTAGGCGCAGCACCAGTATAGACAACCAAACAATTATCGTCTGTAGCATAACTTGTTAAAAATTCTATTTCTGATAAGAGTAATTTTCGTTGTCCCCAATATTCGGTCGTATTCAATTCTTCTACACTTGATTTCGTAATCGTATATTCATTTGGAGATAGATCGAGTAAACGATTTTTATCGGTAAACTCTCCATGATAAATCAAAAGTTCTTGACGATTAATAAAAACTTCTCTTAAATGTGGATTTTGATCATATAAATGTTGATCATTATTATTTAATGTTAAACTATATACATCAAATTCTCGTTCATACATTAATCGTTTCATTAAGTATTTTTCATCACTATATAATATTGATCGATCAATATTCGATATAATCAATGGTAATTTATTCTTTTGTATAATAGATCTTTCTGATGTAGGACGATTTCGATCGCCTGTACCAAATTCATTTATTTTACTTCTTAGAAATATAAAATTTATTATTGTATAAAAATATATCAATCGCAAGATAACTTACCTTCGTGCTGTTAATAATGGTCGAAACATTTGCATAAGTTCAATAGACCATTCGATATCATCCATTGCTCTATGACTGACTTCAACTCTTCCATTAGCTGCTATTTCTTTTACAAACCGTGATGCTGTCGCTGGTGCCCATCTTTTCATCATTTCATTAAATGAACTAACATCAATAACACGATAATGTAAATAACTGAGAACAGTAGGCATTTGTGTTTTCATAACTTCTCGATCGACATGAATTGAACTACCAGCTAACGGACATGCTTTTTCTGGACAATGACGTTTGAGTAAATCTAATAATTCTTGTTCCATTTGTTCTTTTGTTATGTTTGAAGCAATAACATCAGTAAATAATCCATTTCCACCATCATTACGATCTTTAAATGCATTTTGATGCCATTCACCGAGTCCATCGAGAATTTCTTTCTCAAAATGAACAATCCATGCCTCTAAAATTTTCAAAAAAAAAGAATTCTCTTAATCTTTCAATTAATTTTCAAGTTAAAATATGTTGAATATATTAGAAATTTCTGTGAATATAAAAATTTTTTGTCTAAACTATATAGATTTGAATATGTTTCATTTTTTCTTCTAAAGTTTGTGCATCATCGAACTTTATTGAGTATCTCTAACGACATATTCTGTATTTATTTATAATAGAATTTGAAATTGTTCGAATGTTAGAGCTCAATTGAGTTGATTAAAGTATCGATACTCAATGAAAAACGCATAAAATTAAACGTCTCTTATCTTCTACTTAACGATATACAATGACTTACTTCTTTCTAATTCATTAAGATCTTTGTCTGTAATAATAACAGCACATTCTAAAATTTCTGGATTATCAAATGATGTAAATTCTAAATCCATCCAAACAATATTCATCATTTTCTCTTTTTGTTTTTTCATAGCATAATGATCATATGTATCTGTAGATGTTTTATCATTTCCAAATTCTAACAAAAGATTACACATTCTCCAATCTTGTAGAGAATGAGCTAGTTCAAAAGGAGTAACATTATCTGTTTCTCGTGTAATTGATATATTTAAATTAAATTTCGGAACAATATATCGAATGACATCAAAATACTGTCTCTGAACAAGTTCATGTAATAATGTATTTTTTGTACCATCGGACATATTTCTCCATGCTTCAACCTGTAGAACACCATATCGTTTGATAAGATTATCAAGTCGTTCAGTAATGGTCGATTCTGAATACGTTGGAATAAAAAGTTTCTCTAATTCTTTAGTAAGTTTTTGCATTGACATTGTTTTATTGCACAACCATATGTAAAGTATAAAAATGGGACTTACAGTCACATTTTATGTACGTCTATGAAGAGAAATAAGAGAACTGAAAAGAAAAAAACAACCAAACGAATGAAAAAAAAATCCTCGCTTATATAACATGATGTTTGCTTGTTGGGAGAAAGAAAAAGGAAGAAAAAGATACAAACAACAAATTTTGGTGAGCGAGTTATGTGGAAAAAGAGTCTCTACTAATAGTTGAAAATAAGATAAATAATAATATAACGAAATTGATCATTTCTTTAAAGTTCAAAACAAAAATTTTAAGCTATCGATTTTTTCTATTTCCACCAAAGGAAAATCAACTATTTTCAATGGCAGAAGTCAATTTGATCTTCCTTAATCCACACAACTACTTACGATGGAGGATAACCAACTGATAAATCGATTTTAAGTCGATGCTATGTGCATTATGCAATCCCTAATTAGCTATGAAATGTTTCTGCATTTAGATAGCATTACATAGTCTTGCTCTAGTACGACTTTTGTGAGCGACGATAATGAAAACCTAGAGGCTGTTTAAACATAGCTTATTTCGTATTTCGATTACATTAAAACAAAGCGATCTATATGTGCATCCATGAGTGTGAAAAAATTCGACTGTTGTTTTTGTTGTATTTATATCAGGAAATCATCTGCTTCATGTTGCATCTGTTTTCGAATCAATTCTCTCCTTAAAATATTAATCAACAATTATTAAACAAAATTTCTTGAAGGTGGTATAAGTTAAATGATTTATCTAATAAAAGTTCATATTTGTAATCATCCATACACGTTTCTAAATTTGACAATAAAATTTGATAATGTTTGAAAAGACAATATTGTTTTCGAACATAGTCTCAATATATTCTTAATTAATCTCAAAAAAGTCTTTAATTAGCACATATATGATAGATAAATGTGTTACAATTCTCAATTTAGATGCCATATGTCAAAATTGAAAAGATTCATACAAGCAACAGAAAAAAAAAATCACATTCAATTTATCAAAATATTCTTCGCAGCTATTATTTATAGGTTATTTTTAAATACGGTAAAGCTTGACCGTAACGATATACGATATATTCTTCATATTGTCCTCCTGTTCCTTGAACTGAATGAAATCCAATAGGTGCTGATCTCAATTGTGAATTATCTGTATTTTGTACCGAAGGAATACCTAAGAGAACTTTGGCATAAAATATAACGCGTGTTTGATCATTTGGATCAACATCTGTATAACCATGTGATTTTTGTGGATTATCAGCAAAATATGCACCATGACCTATTAAATAAAATAAAGCAACATATGACTTTTTTTTATTATGAAAATAAACTTAAACGATAACTTACCCCATCGTCCATTTGCACTAAAATATCGATCATCAAAACCATAATCTGTTACGCCTTGTACTGCATTAGGTTTTGTTCCATGAAATAATTCACGTTCATTCGGATTTGATCCCGTACATTCTCTTGCAATTAAACTTTTCATGGCTTCATATGCATCTTCTAATAGAGGATTTCGAATTTGTTCGATTGATTTTACTTGAATTCCACTACCATTCGTCGCAATCCTTATTGACAAATCTTTATATAAGACTGATGATGTAGGTAAAGGAACCAGAACTGAAATATATTTTGAATCAGGCGATGGTATAAATGGAACTGGCTCTCCTAATTGAGTCCATTTACGTGTGTCTACCATTTTACTAATACGCTGACGTAGAATATTATCTACAGAACGAAGAACACGAAAACGTTTCTTTTTAATATTATCAATAATAGATTCTAATTCAATTGAACAAGGTTTTTGTTGAATATCAACACGCATTCCTAATTCTCGTGTATAATCTTTTTCTAAATATAAATTGCTAACATCAAGATCAATCCGATCATGAGTTAATGCAACATGTGGTTCAATAAGATCCATTGTATATGGACCAGTTTTTTCATCTTTATCAATCAATAATATATATCTCCATGCTTGTCGATATACATCACATTTTATTCCATACTTATGTAGTTCATCTTTAAATTTTTCAATATCAAAATATGATCGTTTTGGTAAATGACAATCTAAATCACTTGGAACAACTTCTTTAACCATATATGGAATTTGATCAGGTCCTTGATAGTGTACCCAAGCAGCTGGATTTGTTAAAAGTTGAACTGGATGTTCTGAATATTTACCAACAACCCAATCACGAACAAAACCACCTTCTATCTTACAATCAAATTTGCAAACAGCAATCCAAGAAACAACTTCCATACGTGATTCACGTGTTGCATTAATACCTCTCGCTGCATTGTATAAATCAATTCGAGTTCTTTTACTATCGGTTATACGACTAATTCTTTCTTCAATGTCTAAACATTGTGATCGCATTGGCGGACGAAGAACTCGTGGTGGTACATCTACAAAAATTAAAAACAAAATAAGTGATTTATTTTAGACTCAGAAATTACATATCTTATTATTATTATTATTATTCTGTAATGAAGTCATATAGCTAAGTAGATTAGGCAAAATTTTAACAAAGAAGAGACCTAAAAATAATTGTCTATCACTGTCCATAAATTAAAAAACCTATTATTGTTAGATATGAGCAAAAGCCCTCTTTTGTGAAACTAGACAGAGACGATCAACGACCGTTTATTAATAACGTCTCATTATAATATATGAACTATTATACTATCGATTTCAAAATTCTAAAAACAAAAATTACTATTGGACTTAGCATGATGAATCACTACTACCTAGCTACTTTTCCGAATGGTCAAAGGTCAATTGACTGAAACTGAGAGTATCACAAAAAGTCTGATAACATGCGAACGGAAGAAACTAGAAATGTCAGCTTTGCATAGATCAAAAAAGAAGAACTTCTCCTATCGATTAGTCCTATTAAAAATTATTCGGAAAACAGTGGAGTGCATTATATTTTGAAATGAATATTACTTCCGTATTGCCACTCAGAAGGACTAAGTAAAAGGATAATGAAAAAATATGTTCGCAAATATATAGAATAAAGTAATCTTTTGTGATTATCAACAACAACTACATTGCGTTTCACATTCAAATCACGTAAGAATAGTATGTTCTTACCAGCATCAGGATTTCTAATAACGGCACAGTTTTCTAACCATGACAAAAATGAATCAAATTCTTCTTTAACTTTAACAATTTCAGAATATCTTCCTGTAACTGTTATTTCACATGTCTTCGAAGATACACCATTGTTAACTTTTATCTTCACTTGTTTTTCTGCATCCCATCGCCATATCATTGGATGAAATATATATGGCATTTTGCATACTTGTTCAAGATTTCTTGATAAATTTTGATGCAATGTTGTATCTGGTGGATGTCGATTTGTTAGATTAAATTTTATTTCTGTAATCATTTCTTTTCTTAAATGTAATTCAGCATTGAGAACAGTACCAGATCGACCACGTAATGAAAGAGTTTTATTCTTTAATTGCATATGAATAGTATCTGAATAGAGTGAACGAGCTTTTGCATATCGATTTTCACTATTAAGATGAATTTCTTCTTCATTACTTAAGATAAGTTCACGTTGAAGAGAATATTCCATCCATTCAAGTTTTATTTCACCAGCAAACGAAACAATAGCTCGAGAACGAACGGCTGTTGAATATAAAACATCTCGAACAAGTATAAGAGGTACAGGTTCTTGTTTTAAAGGTCGTGTAAGAGTTGATTTAAGGTCTAGAACAGCAATATCATTTAAATCTTTATATCTAGCAAAGAGAAGATTTTTTTCTTGTAATTCTCTCATTGATACAAATACATTATCACTATAACCAGTTAATAATGCTTTTGCAATATATTCCCATTTTCCAGATTTTGTATGTGCTGCAGCACGATAATCAGATGATAAATTAAATGATTTTTCTAAACTTAAATAACGTCTCAATGCTGGACCAATTATATGTCTTATCTTCGTTAAATCAGCAGCTTCACAAATACGATCAATATTAAATTGATGTGATGGAATCGATTGTTTAACTAACAAAACTTTGTTCATTATATTCAAAAGTGTCATAAAATCACCATCAGGACTTTTGAAAGTTGGTGGTATCAATGAAAATATAGCTGTTGAATTCAAAACACCCAACATAGATGCAAGACAAATAAGATCATGCCCACAACTGTAGTGTCGGAGAGCCGCTAATACAGATATTGACATTTGTAATGAACCAAAATCGGGAATTTTCGCAAGGGCTTTTCCTAATTTTGCAAACTCATCACTTGGCGCTGCTTCCAAGATGTCTAAAAGTAAAATTAGAGTTACAAACACAATAAATTTATCATCCATAAGCATTCATCGGTAAATATAAATGCCACCGTTATCGCTGTATCTATAACCTCCTCCAAGGCAACATCGAATAGTGCATCTGAAATAAGTTTCGAAATTTTATTGTTTATGAAACCGAAACAAGACTAAAAAAAAACTTTCATGTATGAGAGTGGACAGTTCATTATTTTCACCTTATTCTCGAACCATGGCATTTTTGCTATTTCTTCTTAGGTCAAGAAATATAGACCATTTTCGGCCCAAAAACTCAGGAAAGTGGTGCAAACATGAAGGCAAGAATCTGGCGGAAATTAACAGATTCGGACACCAGAATCATTAATGTGAGTTGTGATGATTTCTCAACTTACCTAATGTTCGTAGAGCATCAATAGTATAATTAATAGATTGTGGCGATGGTTTATCAGGCAAGAATCTTTGAATGACATGAAGTCCACATTTTAATGGTGATCGTCTTAATGAAAATTCAACATTTGTTAAATTTGATAGACATGTATGTGGTATTGGATAAGGTTGATCTTCAACTTTAAAGTCGTATAAAGCATAATATTCTCCTGATTGTGTTCTTCCTACTCGACCCAAACGTTGTTTAATAGTTGAATGAGCTGCTCGAACTGTTGTTAAAATGGTTCGTTTAAGTTCATGATTATAAATAGGTATATTGATATAACCCGTATCAATAACATATTTTAAAGATGGAAATGTTAATGAAGTTTCAGCAATTGTCGTTGAAAAGAGTACACTAGCTTGTTCGATATTTTCTTGTTGAACTTTTGCTGATTGTGATTGTATTAATGGACGAGCATTAATTGTTCCTCCACTGATATCTGATAATAATTTACAATTCTCTGTAGCTTCTAAAGCTGAATTAACAAAACAAAGAATTTGATCATTTCGTTGACATTTTTTATATAATTCTTGAACAATATCAAGAATATTTGCATTTGGACGTGAAAATTTTGTTACAGGATAAAGAGTACCCATTTGTGGCATAGCAAATTCAGCAAGTTGAATTTGTGAATTATTTCGAAATAGATTAGGCACAGATTCATCTAATGTTGCTGAAGATACGATTATTTTTAATTTCGATTTTAATACTGGATTATTAATTAATAAACGAGCTAAAAATGCTAAGCAAAGATCAATATTAATTGAGCGTTCATGAAACTCGTCTACAAATATAACAATAGATTTTTTTACTGGAATATTTGTTGGTATAATACTATCATCATAAAGTAAACGTTCACGAAGATAACCATCTGTCATATATAAAATTTTTCCTCCTGGATTATTTTCTGCACCACTAACAATCCATCCGGCTATTTTTTCTTTTTTAATATTTGTATCTATGGTCATAGTTTCATTAACACGTCGAGAAATTAATTGACAAGGTAAACGACGTGGTTGAGTTACAATTACTCTATCATAACCTTCGGCAATCAGAAGAGCCGGTAATAAAGTCGATTTTCCTGAAAAGAATAACAAATACAAAAATTTTATATAGATTCTATCATATCATGTGATACCAATTCTATAAATAGATAGGCTAATCAAGGACAATGAGGTCTTAGCAAGATACTAATCAATCGAAGTACATCTCTGATAATAAATCTTAAGCCATGTTAAAGGACATTAACAAAATATTTCTTTAAGTTATTGTTTTGTAACATCAAGCGAGCAATGTTTGCCGTTCATATTGAGTGAATGTTTTTACTTTTTCGTATTATTGTTTTAGATATGGTGTACGCCTAGGATATGAACTAACCTTTCAAATCAATAAATAGGAATGTGATAATTAGTAGATGCTTCTTTTGAATTTTAATAGAGTTTGTATAGGGTATATAGGGCGTGTAACACATGTCAAATTTGAAAGATGATTTCAATTATTCAAGAGCTCAAAAACATTTGTCAAAGTGACTAGACTTGTATATCTGCGTCGCGGAGTAGGATACTGCACGCCTCCAGAAGTGCCGCGATCCATATTCATCTTTGCATATACAGTAGCGTCTATGCTTTTTGTTTTTCGTATTGACACTACTGTAAAGAACGTATAGAATAACAGTGAAGACAGTGAACACATGATAAAACTACGATGATCTTAAGTTCATTTTGACTTTTTCGATCGAGAAGGTCTATTTCAAGAGCATAGCTCAATTTTATAAAAAATATGATTAAACTGTGAGACCTAAGGCTTTCTCGAACAAGTAAATCAAACTCGAGAATTTTGACAAACCTCCTATAGATGGGGATTCCTGCACTCCGAAAAACTTATCATGTTTTGATTATCTTCACCGTTATAGTCTAGACATGATATTTTGCGAATTTAAAAACTCTTAATTGAAGAAAGTTAGGTAGAAGAGTTTGGAAAATATGTACATAGATTTATTTACCTGATCCAGTTGATGTTGTAATAGTTATTATTGTATTTTTTTCTATTTTATCTAATAAATCTTTAGCTGATTCAAATAAAGGTAATTGTAATGCAAAACAACAATAATAAATGATAATTCGTTGTAATAAAGGTGGTATTAATTGAAGTTGTTTCAATTGATGACCTCTGTATTCTTGATTCGTTTGAAATATATGAATTATTTTTTCAATCATTTCTTGAGCTGTTGAAGCAGATTTTTCCGTTGGTTTTTTATCAGTTTTAATTCTTTGAAATGAAATATTTTCTTTAATGAATTGTTCTAATGTTTTATGTTTAATTTGTTCAATTTGATTAATAAATGGGTTATTTTCGATGAATTGATTTGTAAATTTTCTAATTTCAATCCATGGACGAGTTAAATTATTAGAAATACATTGTTCAATTAATTTTTTCGTTTGTTCTTCAATAAATGTATTAAACATAATTACATATTCTTTTATTTTTTCTTTTAAATTATTTGAAAATATGTTCTTATATAATAACCAATAACGTGTTGTTGATTGAACTTTTGAAAATGTTATCATTAAAGATCTAATAAATCTATTTAGATGTCGTTGATAATAATCTTTAGCTGATTGTATTGAATTATTTATAGATTGAACTCTTTGTAGAATAATTTTAAATTGATCATGATGATATTGAAAACCAGTAACAGTTATTGTATACATTGTTTGTTTTTTTTCAAATATAACTTGTGGTGGATAATCAGTCGATTGCGGATTAGCTTTTGTTGATACATTTTTGAGATAATTTAAAAGTAAATTATGATTAGGTGATAGATAACTATCTACTAATTGTGATTGAATTTTTTCATAATTGATAGTACGAATTTCGGTTTTTATTTGTTGTGATCTATTTTGTTCTTGTCGGAATCGTTTCACTTCATCTTCAAGTTTTTGTCGTTCGCTTTGCCCTTTTTCCATTTTTTGAAATAATTTTTCAAGTTCTCGTTCATGTTCTGTGCTTTTTTTTTCTTCCATCATCATTTGTACTTGGATTTCAGCCATAAGACATTCATTTTCATCTTGTAATTTATCTATTTTAGCAGTTGCTTCTTGAAGTTTTTCTTTAGTTAGATCATCTACAGGTGTAGTTTGTGGTGAACCAGCTTGAACGGCAGCTTCATTAGTTTCATTAACAAAATCCTCAATCTTTATTTCGGGTTCAATATCTGTTGTTGTGTGAGTCGAAGAAGATGTTGACTGTTGATAATTTGGAAGATTCATGCTAGTATTATTAATTTTTTCATCGGTGGAATCGCTTTTATTTAAAACATCATCCATCGACCATGCACCACTTTTTATCGATTCGATTGTCGTCTAATAAAATAGATCAAAATCATTTTTTTTGCGAATGAAATATGAACAAAATTGAGTTTAACTGGAAAAATTTTTTCAACTGAAATTTTTGGGGTATTCTAAGGGTCATTAAACTTATCTATATGCTGAATTTTAGGTGGAAATTCCATTATTTGATTTGTTTTTCAATTAGAAGGTCATAACACAGCTTTAGAGATCCATGAATACGAACACTTTAAGAACGGCTCTAGTCTACCAGAGACTTCCTTTTGCGGGCTCAAACCGATAGTTACAGGTCCTTCATTAGTTTACGAGTTTGATTATTTAATATAGATGATAGAACAAAAATTGTCATTCGTCAGAAACAATTGTAAAACTATTTCATATAGTAGGCTGCATCATGTAAAAAACATTTTTTTTTGTTATAAGAAATTGACTTATCCACAACAAGTAATGTCAGTGTAATAGAAAACTGATATAAAAATAATAAATAATTTGAACCGTTGATTTTGATGATAATCAGTTGTCAGGGGCATATATACACGCTTTTCAAAATATTTAAATTTGCTGTGCTTTAAGGCTGAACACTCGACTTTAATCGAGAGGTTTTCTATTCACAACTTTATGTATTTGTTGATCGTTAGTTATTCAGACTGAAGAGGACCTATCTTATAACTCATAAAAAAATTTTACTCAAAAAACAACATTCATTTTAAAAAAAAATTGTTTTTTTTTCCAATCAATTGGAGGATGAATCTTTCTGAAAGATGTCCATGAGAGAAGACGACTTTTTAAACGGGACTTATATAACATTCAGTCAATGCCTCTTTTATCGAACTCACATTTTGCAACGTGCAAAAGTGGTGCAGATCAGAAACAATTTCACAACTTGTGTAAAAAACGTACATTCGAAGAATCCTACGGCTTTCGGAAGAAAATTTTAAGTGTGAAGTGAAAATGTTTCACGAGAAAAGACACATTGCATTGTGTGCTTCTTTACTGCTGATGATGTTCAATAGGCATGTAATCTTAGTCGTCTAAGGACTCCGACTAGAGTCTGTTGGGTCCAAAAGTTTTTAACTCGGTTGAATCGTACTTTGATACTCTGAATGAAATTTTCTAATCGGAATTCGATAATCACCTCGAAAATATAAAATATTCTTTTCCGAATCCAATCAGACGAGTTCTAGTCTCCATCTGAGCTCAATGCTTTCTCAAAAACGTTTCTAAGTCTGCTTAATTAAGAAAATTATTATTAATAGCCGATAAAAAATATAGATGTCTAAACAAGAGCTGTGATGCACTGCTCAAATCTATCCATCTGATGGAAGGAGAAAAGTGTTTGAGCCTACTCAAGCCTTGAAGCTCAGTCATCTATGCTTATTGGATACGAGTTCATAGCAGATAAAATGTGCACTGACCTTGTCACAACACGCTATCTATCAGAATAAAATTAAAATTAAGCAGTAATAGAAAATTTTTGCATCAAATAGAACCTATCTAAGTCTTTTATCTATCCAGCAATATAAGATGAGCTCAAGTCTACTTAAGCATCATGGCTCCATCGTTTATGATTTGAGAAATTGCTAAGACGAACACAAACAATTTACTTTCTTCGACTTTGTTACATTTTCATCATAATTATCCAAATCGTCATTGGAAGAATAAAAACTGTCATCATTAACATCATCAGTCATTTCATGTTCGCCAGCTCCTGCTAAACTATTATCATCTTTATTCACTGTTTGTTTTAGATGTTTTGATGTCATTAATATTGGATTAACAGCAGTCATTGGTTTGAAATTATCAAGATAAGTAATCTTATCTGCATTTTGTTCATGAATAGATATTAATTTTGGTATCCATCGTAAACAACCTGAAACAGTATTTTCTCTGTTAGTAAATGCAAATGTTTGAAGATTCAATTTTAATTTGCCAATGAATGGAAAATTTAAACTAAGATGTTTTCGTCGATAATTAATTGCTTTATCTAATTTTGAATTTATTTTTATTGGACAATTATACCAAGAATTTCCTTGTAATTTAAATTTTGTATCACATAATGATGGAAAATCAAATGGTACTAATGATGGTGAAGAATTTGATTCGATTGGTGGATGTTGAATAATCATTATTTGCCAAATAGAATAACAATCAAAATTTGATATAGATGAACCACGACATCTTATCCATGCTAAATTTTGTTTATGATCAAGACCTCTTCCAGAACGTAAAAATTTAACAATGGAAACAGCATAAACACCTCTGTGTACTTTTAAATGAATTTCTTGTTGAAATTGTTGATCTGGAGGAACTATAAGATATTGAGATAATTCTTTTGCTTCTGGTGATGCGAACGGGTACCATTGATTATCAACGAAAGGTTTATATTCCCATACACAATCATCAACAAGATCTCGTGCTCCTTCAATAATTGGCTTTTCTGGTAATTGATTTGTTACTATTGAATATCCAAGAATTAAAAACTTTCGAAAATATTCTTCAATCACGTCTGATTCTTTAGCATTTGTAATCGAGCTTTCGTCTGCATGATTTGTTAAATAATAATCAGCTCTATTTTCTATTAAATATTTTACTATATCTAAGTGTCCATAATAACATGCTCCGTGTAAAGCAGTTGAGCCGGCGCTAGGATCATTAGTAAAATCTGATGCTTTTACTGGTGAACCAGTTAAGATTTTTTCAATATGTTGTTGATTTTGAGCATTGATAGAACATCGTGCAGTTTTGATGAGATGATCGACGAGTTGCATATGATTATTTCTTGCTGCTGAATATAATAGAGTTGTTCCCCATATGCCAGGTTTATCTTTAAATTGTGGATAATTTTTAATAAATTCTCCAACAGGAAATACATTTCCTTCCCACGCCGCTTGAAAAGCATTTAATGATGCTTGAGTAGATTCAAGATCATTAAGAAAAACAAGAAGATTATTCATTGTTAATGGATTTGAAAATTTTCTTTCATCTCCATCGTAATGATATTCATGTAATTTATCAAGTAAATATTTTCTAGATTTTTCATCAATAGATGGTAAGACATCGCTCAAAATACTCTGAATTTTCTCTGTTAATAAATTTAATAAATCATTCTCTTGAGGATTCAGTGAAAATGTATTGACATTAAGATTTAACGTTGAATTTATTAATAAAGTCTCTGGATTTGCTACTTTCTCTACATTTAATATATTTAGTGTGTCTTTTATAGAATTAATAATAGTTTGTAAATGTTCCTTCAATGGTTCCAAATTGTTCATTATTGATCTATTAAAAAAGACAACAAAACAGCAACTTACTTCAAAATGTAGCTCAAGCAAAAGAATTTAAACTTCTACCAAAAGCAAAAAGAAAGAAATTTCTGCATTTAAAATGCATGTTTTTCTTTTTCCTCTTGGCAAAAACAAGTAAGAAGGAAAAAAACGCAAGAAAAAAGAATGATATTGCCAATTCATTGTGTGTTCTACTGTTGACAATCGAATGTGTATAGCTGAGGTTTGGTCGGAAGAAAGAGAAAAAAACTCTCAACTTGAAATTCAATGTTTGTCTTGATTCATATAAAACAACCCTCACAAATAAATATTCTATGCAGTAAATAATTTATGAATACTCATACAAAACGATCGTTTATTTCACTATTAGTCTAGTAGAACTAAATTGTCTACCATTTTACTGAAAAACTTACTATAATCAATCAAACTTGAAATTTATTCCAACTCAATATAGAAAAATAAATATATATAGATAAAAAACAAAAACAGAACTACTTTTGAATGATTCATTCTGCATCTAGATGAAAGTCCATCAAATTTCGACATATATATGCAAGGATAGAAAGTATTCACAAACTTATTTCAATGTTTTTTCAAAGCTTTTAAGTTAATATGAGGTATACCCAGAAGATATTTATTTGTTATTTTCACAATAATTTTTTTTTATAATGAGCAAAGTTAATTGCAAATTCCATTTGTTATAATAATAATAATAGTGTGGTACAAGTGCGGATGAAAGCAAAGCAATTGGATTCATCCGTAAACACTCTGAAAAAAATCTTATCGATGCATTATTATTCGCAGCCGAGATTATCAATAAAATCGAACTTTTTTCTGATGATGAAAAATGCGATATTTTCCTTTTGTTAATTGAAAAGTCCTGATTTTTAATGCCCCTAGTGACGACGATGTCTTTCTCTCATTTCATGATGGAAGTCACTTGTCTGTATAGACTGTTTTTCAAAGTGTGAAAATGTAATATCTCAGTGTACTTAGTTGCAGATCTAATGTTGAACAGTGAATGCAAAATGCTCACAACAGAAATTTTTGTCGCTGCTAGAACTCTGCCACAGCCATGATGGTGTTCGAGAAACTCTTTCAAAAACTTCTGTGTCACTGTGCTGAATTAGCACAATTAGATTGAATTCATCAAAATTTACCACGATTCCGACTATTGAATTTGTAGACACTCTAATCGGATGCAAGCTCATGCAATTCTACAATCTGTCTAGAAAAGGATAACCGGCGATAGTATTTTTGAAATATCTTCTTCGCATGGCGGTTTTAAAACAAAGTACCGATAACATGCCTTTGAAGTCGTCGTGGTGTCGCCACTGGCGCGTCACCATGCATATTTCTAGCTCGCAGCTGTGAACAAGCAAGTGATATTGATGCATCGTAAACCCATTTTCTACCGTTACTGAATCAGTTTGCAGAGCTGAAAACAATAAAATTGCTAAAACTTTCTTTGAAATAAAATTACACCTCTTACAGACTTGAACAGTGATACTAGAAAAGAATATTATTGAAATAACTCGCCTCTGAAATACCAGCTCTCGCAATCACGATCGTATGATGTTGACAAATGTAGTCAGAACATGAAACGTATTAACATCACCACGTTGGACGTCTTCTTTAAAAACGATAATTCTACTTGAATGCTGTAATTTTTCGAATCGATTTTAGTATATATGTATTAGAATGATTCATAATAGTGCCCGATAAATTACTTCAGACTTTGATGATTGATGCCAGGAGATTGACTAATTTTGAACAAAATTCGTGTATTGTTGACAACAACATTATTGGGCACATATGAAACCAAAAAACTTGTCTCGGGTATTTTCACAAATTATATAGGGATTCATAATCTTGGTCATAGTCCGTGTTTGATGATCAACTGCCAGGACAAAGCTTTATTTTTTTTTTTGTATTTCGCTAAGATACTCTCAGTGAATGTAAACATTGCTCACCTCAGCATACTTCCTATTTATAGATATCATGAACGATCTGCATCGTATTGCTAAACTTATTAAATAGAATACGAAGTTCGAACTCCTCGAACAAAAAGTAAAGTAATTCAGCGAATACAATAATAATATTATTCTAATTTCTCACTTGAAATCCACTAAACGGGATAAAAACTGCTGTGGATAAGAACTTCATGGGATTTTATTTTTCTTAAGCGACAAATAATAACATATATTCCCTCAATCATTTCTTATGATGATCGTTGTTTTTTCCTCCTTCTACAGAGATCTGATGATGTTGGATGTCAAAAAAATCGAATTTCAATTAAATGTATCCATTTTTTTCCATATTTCTGATTATTAGTCGATAAATTAAATTTATCTTTAGAGATATAGAGTTCAGATTTATATTATAAGACAATACAACTCTATCGGAGAAACTGATCAGAAAAAGAGTTAAGAAATATATAGAAATGAGGTTACTTGAAACGATTCAACCTAATGCTGAAAAAGAAGTAAAAACTCAATTATCTTAGTTTCCGTAAAGCCTATAATAATTCTTGTATTTCTACTAAGTGACTTCATTTCAAAGAAGACCAAAATCTAACATTGTATTTTTACATAGAACTTAGACAAAAAAATTCATAGTGGATTCTGAAGATTTCAATCATTTGTAAACTCTGAATCAATCTTTATCTTCTAATGGAATCTCTAATAGTAAGATTGTCATAATGCCAAGACACTCCACTAGGTGCTATCGAGAGAGAAACAGCAAAGACTTTCATCGTGAAGTCTCTTGAAAGTTTCTGAACAGTGTTTCGAATGGCATGTGTAGCAACAAGAAGAAAAAATGTACAAAGCATCTAGTGCTCTCGATATGTATCCACGAGGAAAGAGCTGATTTCGAGTAATGCCTGTGATTTCAATGGTTCTAAAATGTTTCTGGTCACTGTAATAAAGAAGATAAAATTACCTTTTCGTTACCAAGTAACAGGTAACGAACAAATTCATCGGGTTTGATTCTTTTTTTTTTCAGAAAATAGTTGTCGGGAGAGAAAATCGTTATTTTTTGAAAAATATCTTTCTCCTGACAAAAAAATCGAAACTAAATAATGTTCGCCTCACAACTACTACTTGATCACTCAATATCAAATGAAGTAAGTGTTATGTGACAAAGTTTACCCTTAATTTAGTTTTAAGTTAAATTGATTGATTCATGTGATCTCGAAATCTCTTGAACTGTACTGTTTACTCCTCGGGTGTTGTGCACATGCAAATATTAAAAATCCATTAGAGTATGAAGTTTGTAAACTGTCTCTAATATTTACTGTAGTAACAGTCATTGTAATACAAATAGATGAAATGAATAATTTGATATATAATATAATAAATATGCCAAAATATCTTTTATAGAACTAATTCATTCTCATTCCAAAACAAGTTAGTTCAGTTATTGTTAGGACCTTATTTATTTTTATTTGAGAGTTATATGAGGAGAACCTGAACTTTTCCAATAAAGAAAAACAAACGAAAATAAGACAAGAAAAAATAAAATATTTAACTCAAAATAACACAGACATCAGACCCATACTCATTTATAAATGAGACACAACCTTTAGCACATGAAGCACTCTCCCAGGGTTCATTGAAAATAATCACATTGACATTATGATGTGGAAATAAAGTCTTCAGACTGTGATGAAGTATCTCACGTCGTGCTTCATTATTTATTATGCCTTTTGTATCATAAACAAAAGGAAATGCTATATGTTTGACTATAACATTATTCATCATGGGTCCGGATGATTTTGATAATTTGTAAACTCTCAACCAATCTCCATCTTCTAATTGCTGATTTAATAATACTTGACCTTCATACGATGATGCTCCACCAGGTGCTGCGAATTTGCAAACAAAAAAAATGTCATTTGGGTATGCCGTTTCCAAATTGTCTCTAATACGTGCTGTAGTAGAAGGCATTCTAATATAAACAGGTAAACCGATTTAAATTAGATTTGTTTGAATTATTTAATAAATAATACAGTATGATATGTTTGTCGAAATGCCTTTAATATTAGTCAGAAACAAGTGATTTGATTTATATATTCATTGTGATCAAGGAAAGGTAAAATATTGTCAAGTATATAAATGTGACACGCTTCGTATATACTCAGGGACATGATGGAAAAAAACAAAGAAAAAATATTGTTTGATTATGATTATCAACAAACAAGTCCTGCAAGGTCACAAAAAAATGAGCCAAATAAGTAAACATAAGAAATGATGCTCACATTAGATAGAAACTGTAAACCAATCAAATTTCGAGTGGTTATTTTTGCCATCCTTCGATTTTTTTCTTCGTTCTTACTTTCATGAGTGAATAATAAGAGGTATATGGATAGTTATAAATATAAACAAATTTTGTTAACTTGCTAATCACAATAATTGATATCTTTTACATCGAGGTCATAGAATATAATTAATAATATTCAGAAAGGAAATAATAATTCCATATGTGAAGTTTTTTTTTTTCTTTGTTTGTTTCTCTCTTGCGCGTTGTCTTTTGTACTCATTAACGCTCGATTGCATCTACTGAATTTTCAAGTACAATATTATCATCAATTGTTTTAAAATCCTTTTAGTTCATACACTTATCTTTAACTTTATTTGAAGGTTTTTTTTTTTTGATAATGCTGGCCTTTATTTGTTGAAACAAGAAGACAATTTATAAGGTAAACATTAATATCAATTGAGAAAATAGTTTTTCAAATTTTTTCTTCTCATTATGTGCAACAACATTAAACAATAACAAAAAAAGAACATGTTTACTTAACGAAACTGAATAGTTCGTTTAAATGTAGAAGATAATTTTTTTATTTCTCAAGAATAATTATAAAAAAATTTTTTATCAATAGAAACAAGTCGTGTTTTGAATTGTTTTCTTCAAAAGTTAAATTTTATTCTTTTTCTTTCGCATTAGGTAATCGATGACATATATTCCTTTTTATTTCATTTGTACCTTGCAGAAAACATTACAGAGTGATTTGTGTTTGCATTTTTGATAAGAATTAAAATTTGTATAAATACAAAATACAATGTGAAATATCATAGAAGTACTATTCGTATAAAAATTATTTATACTACTCATATTACGGGGCTATCTATAAAGAACGTACAGGTAAAAATTGCATCTTTTAAACTCTCCTCTCTATTCAAACGTACCCAATGTCATGGATTTTCTTCTCCCCTTCTGAACGTCCAATATGAGAAAAAAAAATTTTCTTAAAAGTAGCGACTTGTTCAAGTATGCTGCCACCTTTTTGTTCAATAACAATTCATTAAGTAAATATGTATATCACTAATATAAATGCATGCACAATAAAACAAAAGTATAACCTATTGCAAAGCCTTCAGAGATTGACAAGATAGTCCTGTGCTATCCGGCACCCATGTTCATGCTTTGGTGCGCCGTGCACCTCTATCTCGTTTTTACATTATTAACGAATTTCGATAGTACTAATTGATGTCTTTTGTGTTTTTTTTTTGAGCACTCCTCAACGATTGTAATCACATAGTACACGCTCTAGAGAGCTCTGAGAGCTGTTTGTATAGGCGTAATCAGTCAGGCGGGACAGCATGGAATTGTCCCGTTCGTCTCTAGAACTATGTCACTTTTAAGTATATCGTATTTTAATGAGCAGGAAATTATAAAAATATTTAAAAAAGTGAAGTTCAATACCAATGGCACTCGGCAAGATAATGTTTATGTAACTGCTTCACAAAATAACAAGTTACTCTTATAGTATAATCGTCAATTAGTTTACCTAAATATTCATATTCTACTTACAAATGATATTCAAAACAAACTTAGCTTCAAAATTTCACAGGACTTTCTGAGGAAAAAAAAGGAAAACATTCATAGTAAGTGTTTGAATGTTCGCTATGGATGATCCATTAATACAGCTTATCATATATTTTCCAGCAGAAATGAAATTAACTAAAAAGACTTGATGTCGATAAGGTGAAGAAAAGAATAATAGAGAAAATATAAGGATACAGACTTCATACTGTATAATTTACCAATTCTAATAAGAATTGCAATGAGTAAGAACTTTATGTAATCTTATTTCTCTAACGCGACAACACGTACCCAATGATCTTTGATGTTAAAGTAATCAAGCTGCGACCAAAGATTTTTTTTTCAAAATTCTGTTGATTAGTCGATGAATTAAATATACCCTCAGATATGCAGTTCAAATTTAAATTATAAAAGAAGAACCGATGAAAAAACAGTAATAACCCAATTACATGATATTTTCATAAAGCTTATTTATTTCTCTTGCTTCAACTAAATGCCAATACTTAAAACTTTATTTATTCAAAATAACAAACGACAATAAAAATTAATATTCAATTTTACTTTTGCATAGAACTTAGACAAGATAGTTGTTGTTTTTGGAATTTATTAAAAACTGTTACAAAATCAATTAATTAGTTGGTTCATTTAATAGAAATCTTATGAATTAACAAACTTTTTAGAAAAATAAATCGATTAATAACAAAAGTTATTTACTATCTTCAATGATCAAATATAAAAATTATTTAACACAAAATAATACTGACATCCCAATCATACACTCAATCGCAAACGAGAGAAAACCTCTAGTCCACCAATCATATACTGTCAGAACTTATTATTAATAAAAGCATTAGCGTAATAGTTTGAGAATAAAATATCCAAACTGTCATGAAGACTAATACATCGTGTTTCGTTATCTATCATATCTTTTTTTTTTACCGTAAACAAAAGAAATTACTTTACGTTTGATAGTATCATCCTTCATAGTGAATTCTGAAGATTTTCATAGTTTGTAAATTCTTAACCAATCTTCGTCTTTTAAGTGAACATGAGATTTCATATTCCATTAATACCAAGGTACTTCACTAGATGTTGTCAAGAGGGAAACAGTCGACATGTCGGTCATGAAGTCACATGAAATCTTTTAAACAATGTTTCTAATGGTAGGCTTAGCAACAACAAGCAAAATGCACAAAACATCTAGTGCTTTCGATATACATCCAAGAGGAAAGTGCTGATTCCATTATTCCAAAATTATTCTGGCTACCGAAATAAGGGAGAAAAATTCTGATTACGTTAGCAAATAACAGATCGCGGATAAATTCGTGGTTTTTGATTCTTTCGTCAAGAAATAGTTGTTGGGAGAAAATCAAGTTTGTTCAAAGTTTTTCAAGATAGACAAATTCGAATATGTAACTGATTGCTCGAGATTTGTGAGTTTGATTTTTTATGAGAACTAGAGAAAACAACCTTCTGCTGAAAATTTTGACGAAGTGTTTTCGAGATCAAGAGATCTGAAACCTTAATCGGTTTGATACCATTTCGAAACTGTAAGCCTTCGGTCAAACATTATAAAAATCGTTATTTTTCAAAAATGATATTCTCCTCACGTCTACCACTTGAACATAATGTTATGAAGCCATATGAAGTTCATTATTTCCAAAGAAAGCTTCTGAAGTCATAGAAGTCTATGGAAATCTCCGTAAGTCTTCGGAAGGCTATTGAAGTCATGAAGTGTGCTGTTTCTCGATCGGACACTCATTCTAGTATAAATAGATGGAATAAATTAAATATGTCTGATGAAGTTTCTTTTTATTAATTAATTCATTCTCATTCAGAAACAAGTGAGTCTAGTTATTGTTAGGACTTTATTTATTTTCTTTAGAAATTACATGAGCACATAAACTTTTCCACTAGAGAAATACAAACAACAAGAAAAAGAAAGAAGAAAAGAAAATACAAAGTATTTAACTCAAAACAATACAAACACCCGAGCCAAACTCATTCCTGAAACAGGCAGCACCTCGAGCATAACAAGTACTATGCCAGCCGTTATTGTAAATAAACACATTGACGCAATGATTTGGGAATACAGCTTTTAAACTGCTACGAAGTCGGTCGCGTCTTGTTTCGCTATCTGTTATATCTTTTGTATCACGAACGAAAGGCAATGCTTTGTTTTTGACATTATTATCATACATAGTGGGTCCTTTAGAATTAGATAATTTGTAGACTCTCAACCAATCTTTATCTTCTAATTGAACATCCAATACTAGGTTGCCATAATACGAAGACGCTCCACCAGGTGCTGTGAACTTGCAAACATAATACAAGTCGTTGGGGTGTACCTTATGAAAACTGTCTCTAACACTTTCTGCAGTAATAGACATTCTAATATAAACAGGAGAAATAATTTCAATTAAACTTGTTCCAATTATTTAATAACTAGTATAGTGTAACACGTTCGTCGAAATATCTTATATTTAACTCAGAAATAGGTGACTTCAGTTAATTATATTGAGATAAAGAAAAAAACAAAATATACGAAGTAAGTCAAAAAATCTTACTCGCTTGATATATACCTATAGATAGGATGAAAATAAAAACGAGAAAAAATCTTTTTTGTATCTCATTATCAATAAAAGAGTATCTTAACATCAAAGAATCGAGCAAAAACACAAACGCATTTATATTCGAGAAAAAAAGATAAAAATAAGCATGATGATCACACACTTAACAGCAGAATATGATAAAGAAATACAGAAAAGTGTAATCGAGAAATTGTGGTAATTTTTAATAATTAATTATTTCATCATAAAAATATTTTAACAATCAAATACTGATATTTAATAATCATTGCCGAATTGATGACTTTTTATATTTTAAAATGTTCCTTGATAATTGCAAAATATCGGCTGAAATCTATTTTTAAAACGAAGAAAAGTAATGTTGCTTCTGACGTAGTTTGCACAATAGATTCTTATATAATTTCTCTTGTTTCATACGGTTCAAACCAAAGATTCCTCCTTTCAAAAGGAATAGAAATTTGAATACATCCACGATAAAGCAAGTGAGTAACAGATCAGTAAATCGGCAGATAATCACCTATTTTGAATATATA